AGTCTGAAATAAAAATCTTATTCTTTGTGCTGAATTTGCCTCGGTCACCTTCTGAAGTGCATGTCAAATCATGTAATCCTTTTTTTGTCTTTTTTCGTTTCTGTGTGTACAACATGCATGTAATAACATTTTCAGGAAAATACTCTAAGAGCTAATTATTGTTTTCCATTACATTTCCAAGCCATCTTCTATTTTTTTATTCCCAATTTACATTGAACTTGAATCTCAAATAGAAAGCCTGTCTTAGAAACTGGGAAATCTCAAGCAAACACACTGAAACAATATATATTACAAAATGTGTTAGTTTAAGTAATCTTCCCAATCCATGCACAGAAGATAATTCTCAGAGAAAAGATGGAAGTTACGTGTTGCAGCTTATACTACAGATCATCATTTAGTTAAATTACCAGGAAGGTAACCCACAAGCTCAAAGTGACAGTGGGTCCTGGAGCATACACAATTTGGAAATGATATTACTGGCTTGAGCAAAGGGAATTTACCTGAGCAACTGAGCCAAGCAGGCAATTTCCAGTGCCAGCAATATGGGAGATAAAAAATAGAGATGATTTTGGAGTCAGTATTTGACAAGTGTACTAAGGCAGGACATACGTCTTTGTATTTGTCCTACAACACGTTTGATTGATATGCAGGTAGGGAAGAAGGGAATAAATAACAAAACCTAAAATAATGAAAAAGCTGCAGATTATTTTTTTTTCTGTTTTTAAAAAAAAGTGTTATCATTAAAATCTCCTGAACATACTGGAAAATTAGCACATGTTCAAAGTCATACCATGCATTCTTACAAATCATCAGAAGGTTTCACTGGATTCTTGACCTTCTGTTCAGTCCTACCATAAAACATAACTTGTACTTCATCTTTTTCTGATTCTCTGTTACCGCTGAAGATCAACAGATCACGCGAACACAGGTTGAGGTGTGGTGCAAGAAAGAGCAGAGTTTATTTTTCCTCCCAGGATTTATAGGCTTGTGACCACGGCCAGGGATTGGATGGTCAGGATAACACTTTCTCACTGCACTGTCCATGAGAGGTGCCCATTACGAGACGTGTAACAGAAAGAATGTACACATATCTATGTTTACAGTTACTGTCCTGGGAAAGTCCTTAGAAAACTATGTTAGCAAGCTCAGAAGCTGAGTTTTCAGGGCGACAATTCTCCAAAACCGAAATTTTAAATTTGGAAGAAAAATATAGTAAGAGAACAAACTAGATAAATAAAGGAAAAAGTTGAGATATGATAACAGGAGAAGGGTCAGTTCAAAAAAAAAAAAAAGGAAGGCAATGAGCAGGTTGGCACTCTTTGTATGCTTTGTAAACTGACTGTTCATCTCCTTTTCCCTTAATTTCCTAAGTTACCCTGAAAAACATCAGCAAAATAGAAAAGTCACTTGCAAAAGTGCATCATGATATTTCATGACTGGGCAATAAGAGGACAGATGAAACTGAACATAAACTTGTGCAGAATAATTTTAAAAATTTGGAAAAAAATACACAAATTATAGATGTAGTGATGGGTTCTGAACTAGATATTACCATTCAGGAAAGACTTAATGGAATTGTATTAGGAAATTTTATGACAATGCCATCTCATTGTTCTGTTAAAAACAGAATAATCCACAACACCAGAAAGGAAAAGAGAACTAGGAGATTTCATTGTGCCAGGGAATAAATCTGTAGTGTTCTCAGAACATCTGCACTTCTGGTCTCAATCTTTTTAAAAGTATGTGGAACAAAGAGGTACAAAGAGTGACACAGATGATTAAAGGCATTTAAAGACTTCTGAACAATATTCCTCCTGAAAAATATCTTAAGGGCAGATACGGAAGGAACCTAAAATTTCTTAAGAGGAATAAAGAATGATAATTTTTTCACTTGTCTCTTCCAGTATTAGGAAATACAAATTGAAACTAGTAGGTGACAGTTTTAGAATAGGCACAGTTTGTCTCACCATCCCTGTCATATACTGGAAGTCTACTGCAAAACTGTGTCTGTGCTCAAACTTTGCACAGACCCAAAAGGCAATTAAAAAACTCAGAGAAGAAAAATCTATATATTAAATTAAAAGTAGCACTCGACTGCCTACCAGAGAAGGCTGAGAAAATAAGCCCATGCAGTGATCACCGACATTTTATCTCTTCCACAGAGCTGGATACCAAGCCAGCCCTAGAAACCTCAACTGTCTCCCTGAGAAAGGGCTTAGAGAAAAAGACATATGACAGAAAACACAAGAAAGGACAAACTGAAATGAAGTAGAGGGTTTTAGGGGTCAGAAGTGTAACACTTGGTGACTTAAAGGGCAACCAAACAGAGCACCTGGACTACCAGCCCCAGCCAAGGACAATACTGGGATCGTGAGCGGTGTTATCCAAGCTGGTAGTGGCTTTCCTGGGAACCCACGGTCAGTCAGGAAAAGAGAACAGATTTTAGGGGATGACTCATTCAGCCGATGTGCCTCTATTAGCACAACACTTAAGCATGTGCTTGATAGAACCATAAGGCCCATGGAAGTTAATGACGGTAATGTAAAATAAATTTTCCATCAGACAGGCACAGGAGTTTTATGTAAAGCGCAAAGATAAAATCTGAACTTGCTGAAGGGCAAGTTCATCTGGAAAGATGAAACAGAGACCAGAGTGGTGCAGAGCCAAGAAGGTGTGGCAGAACTGAAAACTGAAAGGTGGGAATCAAGACTGGGCATAAAGGCATGGAGCAAAAGCAGGAAGAGGATTTGTATCTCATGCTTGAGGGGAAGCTGAGATCAAGGGAAGGTGTACTAAACCTAGTGTTCATTGCAAGATATAAACAAAGTCATAATCTAATGACAGTGGGAGACATGGATTAGACAAAGAACGAAGTGGGAAAGTGAGCCCTGTGCTTGAAGGAATAAACAGGGAAATCTGGCAGCAGCAAGGAAGAATGTCAGTGGAGGAAAGGTTGGTGCCAGAGTCTGTCAGTTACTTTCTCAAGAAACCAGTAAAATATTAAGGAAGAAAGAGAAGGTTGTGTTGGCTGTGGAGTTGCAAAATTATGGAAGGTACTGGAAGCAGCTATCTGGAAAACTGAAAACTCTTGGAGATTAATGCCTTTACAAAAACATGGAAAACCAGGAGAACCTCCTGAAATTCCTTCTCCATGGGAATGCTTTTAACCATTCTGCCATTTACTGCATATTTTGTGAACACTCAATACATTCAAAAGTTGATAACCTGTTTATTTGAAACAATCAAACAAAAATTTATTAAAAATTTAAGTTAAATCTTTATTTTAAATTGCCTAAAAACTAAACAAAAACCTTTTAAGTTGTTAGCTTTCTGTATCTCAAAGACGCTCTTGTAAAATATAACTCCAACCACCAAGATCACCTTTTCCCAAGTGCACACTACCATGAAATTGGAAGCATGCCTGAAAAGTCAGAAAATTAAGCCTTTTTTTTTAATAAAAATGATGAAGAGACTATCACAGAAATGCCTTGGGAAATCTCTCTACCATTCTGAGATGATTTCAGCTTACAGACATCTTCAGAACACTGTACAGCTGTGACCAGCAGGGAGGCAGATGGAGAACTGGAGACAAAAACTGTGAAGCAAGCAATGCACACAGCCCCATCCTTGCTCACCAGCAATATCCCAAAGCGCTTCTCTCCTCATACCAGCAGATAAATAAAATCAGGATTATTTAGAAAGGGTAACCATATGGTTTGAATAATTTGTAAATGCTATTTTCAGCACATTACTATAATGCATAGTAGAGACCTACAAAATAGGGTCAAAACTTGCTGGTTTATAACCAACCTGTTCCATTTGGGTGCAGAGACAGAGTTGATGGCTTTGTATCAATTATTTCACATGCTGTTCCTACCTTCAGAGTCACAGAACAAAACAATTGTTCCATGTGGGGCATATTATTGGGTTCCTGAGCTCAAATAAATATGTATCAGCCTTGCTGATAATTATTTGCTAGTAAATATTTATTTAAACTGTGAAGTCCTGACTTTCCTTTTTAAATTCCATTTCAGCCTACATGCATCTGTCTGCTTTGTGCCTTCCTAGTGCAGAATGCTGCAATATGTAGCAAGAAAAAAAAAAAGTCAGGAAAAAAATGCAAAAATATCAACTACAAGAAATAAAATCAACACAAAAACTTGAAATCTGTTACCCTTAAGCTGTGTCCTTTCTCTCTCCAACTCCTTCATTCCCTCTCACCTTTGTTTTGTTAATGAAGTATAAGAATCCAGAAGCCACTTTTATTCTAAATTAAGGCATCTGCAATGCTGCAGGAACGGCACTGATGAGGGTATTTGTCTGGATACAGTGCATGCTTTCCAATTTTCACTGTCATTTTTTTATTTTTTTTTTAGCATATACAAAATATTGCAGAAGCACATGTAAATCATCACTCTCCTGCCCAGTGGAACAGAATTTCAGTTAGCAATGCCAAAAGTTGCCTACAGAAGGCATCTACATCTGGTCTGCTACATCCAAGGCAGCAACCACAGGCACACACGGTTTGCTTTGTTCAGAATTCATCTCTGTGGCGCAGCTGAGCCTCAGATATTAAAAAAACCCAAACCTATGAGCCCTCTGGGGTTAAACAGAAAAATGTTTTCCATCACAACAACTTTTTGGAGGAGGCAGTGAAGCTGTAACTATGTATGGAAGAGTTTTTATGTAAATCATTGAAGGCCTCCTGACTTCAATTGTTGCTAACACCAAGAAGTTGCTTAATGTACACTTGAGAGTGTGAAGGCAGAACAGATGAATAGTCTCACAAATCCTATTTGCTCAGTTGGAAAAATGCAAAAATATTTGTTGAAACTAAGGAAAAAAAAAATGTGATTCCTGCTTGCTGCCATTCAAATTTAAAATTCAGATAAATATTCATGATTTCTGAGTGTGTGATGATTTTTAACTGGGAGGCAAAAGGGGCAGATACAATCAGTAAACAAATTTACTGTCGAATCCACACAGAATTCAGTACCTACCTAGCCACTCGTTGAATTTTTTTACTTCACTAGGAAGTCCCAGCTCAGTAAAATCACCGGCATGTATTAACACATCTCCATATGGCATTTGGATGGGATCAGTTCTTGAGTGAGTATCAGAAATACAGACAAATCGTGTATATCCTGGAGGCTTCGGAGCGTCATGGGGCACTGGATCAACCCTGTAGGAAATGCATCATAACAAGGTTATAAAGTATTTACGTACTTCTTAGTGTCTGTTTTGCAATTCTAATATTACTTTTTACCTTTAACAAAATACAAAATATAACAAAATGACTTCTAAATCTGCCTGATGGAAGGATTTATTAAAACAAACCTAACACTAACGGAAGGTGTAAAAATTCTTGATGTTCACGTCACAACATTTTTGGTATTTGTTGGGTAGATAGATTAATTGAAAGAGATTAAAGAAAAAAGATTGGACTATGGCAGTAACTCTTACACAACACAAATAAATCAAAGGCATTGCCAGTTTCAAAGGAAAAGTACTATCCCATTTCATTGCTTAAATATGATTACACTGTACACAAGGAAAAGACTTATTTTAGATACATAAATACATGTAGATGCTTTTTTTTTCTAATTACAACTTTTCTGCAAGTTACTCAACTCTAGCAAATTTAATTAACACATTTTGGAGCTATGTTTCAGTGCATTAATGAAAAGCAACATAAAAACTCTCCTAACAGCTGTAAATGTACGTTAAAGCCTGACTATTGTCAGGACAAAGTGACAACTTTCTGGGCTTAATTATACTAAATGAAATCAGATGCTGTGAGGGGTGAGGCTGCATTGTTCAGAACCCAATCTCTACATTCAAAACTGAAGCAACTAAAAGATCTGACCCAGTTTGATGAGACTCACTTATAATTTACAAGGCAAAGTCAGAGAACACCTCTTTACTATGGAAGGAATATTTGTTTTCAAATTAATCTTTTTAACTTCAATCCATATTTTGTTTGAATACATAGAAGCAAATCTGTCTATATGCAGCTATACTGTATCTGCTACTCCAGTTAGGGAATTCTGGTGGAAGAAAAATCAAAAAAGCAAGAAACGCAAGAATTATGTTAGTGTCACTAGAAACCAGAGAGATATACAGATTTGTTATGAACTATTTTACTTTTACAACATTTCTTTTGAAAGGACAAATAAAATTAGTTTTGTTCACTGTTGCAGTATATAGTACATATTTCTATCCTTTGATGGTTGTGCTTCAATTCAGGACCTTACTTTTACATAAAGAAACTCAGGGGAAAAAAAATTATAGAGATCTTTGCTTTTAATAATACTACTTCTGTTTTCTAGGTAAATTTTCAAAAAGCATTTTATTGCTTAAAAGGCATAAGATAATAATATTTAATCACTCAACCTTTTCGCTGTGTCAAGAAATTCTGTAAAATTTATAGGCAGATAAACTGAGGTGGTTTTGACAACTTCACAGGATTACTGAGAGGGTGAGGAACAAATCTGAACCATTGAAATCTTGTTAAATACAGAAAAAGATCTTAGCATTTTCTACAATGTAACTACAAAACCACAGTATGAACCAATTATTTTATACCCATCTTTCCCACATAGCAAGAAGAGATATTGGGTTTTTTATGGCAATACTGGAGGAGCGGCCTTTTAGTACAAACACCTTAGGGCTCTCTTTCTGAAGTTGCAGGTTTTGAGCAGGAAGTAGCTAAATATGAGCTGAAGAGTCAACCCAGCTGTGATCAAATCCTACCTGATGAACTACATGCTAGGGGCATATGTAAGCAAGGATGTAGCAGGAACTCCAAAATTTGGGTGGCAAAGAGTGCAGTGCCTGGACTCTGAGCAGCTGGTAACACCTCGTGTAGGGCACATGGGGAAGGGCAGATGAAGGAAAATATTTGAGATGTTAAAAACGGTTCTGTTTTGGAGGAGGAGAGAGCTGCACAGGGCAAGCTCCAGGGGAGACAGCAGGGGTGCAAAGGAATGCGGGTGGTGAATGGTGGGGCTTAGACTGGGCGGTGAGGATTTGCCCTCAGGTGGGAGCTATGTGAAGGATGATGCAGTCAGCTCACAAAATGAACTGGGATGGTTGGATAAAAATGATGAGGGGCTGCCCTTGGCTATCACTGTAGCTGTTCAAGTTAAAAGGATTAAACATCAGTCCAGTGAACTGAATTACTGCTCTCCCCGCCCAACACTTCCCAAAGTGAGTTACAGATGGCGTTACTGAGCCAGCTGTAAATCACGGATATTGCCTTGGCAAACATAAGGATATGGACGGGTCTAAAACACCACTTTTTGACTTTTCATGGTAGGTTAGCCTTTAAAGCAGCTACTGCTTCTCCTTCAGAAATCTTTTAAAGCTCAGCACAGCAGTGAGCTGGGTGTCAGGGAGCAGTGTACATTTCACATAGGAAGCTGTGTGGAAAGAACAGCAGACTTACCACAGCAACCCCATGCAGCACATAATGCATGTGCTTTGGATGGGGATGGGGAAAGTGCGGACAGCATTGTCCTGGTTGCTGAGGTATGTGTAACTTTCAAATTCTCTGCAATAGGCCAGAGAATTTTTGTGGGAAAAGGGCATCAATACAAAAAAACCCGCCACCCAAATAAATGACATGCAGATTTCTCATGTTGAAGTGATATGCACGCACTGAGACTATATATAGGTAAAAGCATATGTCAAGTTTCGCAAACACATCTAAGCTGTATTACTGGAAATAATTTCTGAAGGCTCAGTCCCCATATTCTTGTGTAACGCATTCCCACAGCAGCTGTCACACCAACACCCAATGTACAGCTTGCAGCACGAGCAGAGGAATACAGATCTGCTGATTATTTTTGTGCAAATGCTTTTGTTTTTCTTCAGATCAGTAGGAAAACTTGCAGAGAAACTGAAAAGCAAAGTTGGAACATCTCAGAGCAAAAACACTTTTAGAGGTTAGTTTATACACTAGATTTCAGCACTTCAGGAAGGAATGAGACAGGCACTTTCCAGAAATGACTGATGGACTTGAAAACACTGGCAGAATTTACCACCCTTCTTGTCAGAGGCAACCCAGTCATCTCACAAGCACAGGGATGCCAGACTACGACAGGTCTGAAAAGGGCTGTCAGCATGTTCTGGGAGCTAAAACATCAAATAAGAAGTCCAAACCTGCACAGAGAACCAAGGAAGAGCTGCAGGAATGAATCCAGAAGAAAAGGAGCATACAACCCTCTCCCCCATGGTTAAAGTAGTTTAATGTGAGTTCAGATGTTAACAGGTCTGTGTGAAATGTTTATCATTGCCTGCAACATCACTAATGGAGGTATTTTTAACCATGCACAAGCTTTCATCTCCCTGAAGTTAAGGACAAAACTTGCATGCACAGAAGCAGGGCTAAGATTTCACCCGCAACAATCATGTGAATAAAAGGTGCTTTTGTCACCCTTTTTATGTCTACTTTTCCCGTCTTTGTTACTATTCTTTTCAGTGGTAGGAAGAGAAAGAAATCCTGCTGGTATTTAGAAACATTATTTACTATTTCTGTACAAAGAGAAAGCACGGGTCAGATTGTGGTACATGTTGCAATTGATTTGGCCTGTTCTTCTATTTGCACAAGCTTCTTCAATAGTATTAAATATTCATGAGAATTTGCTAAACTCTTCTGAGGAACTATTTTCTAAGGATAGCTTATTTCAACTCCTTGCTTGGGTGCTGGGTTTCTATCATGTAGTTGACTGTCTAAGCCTCCAGTATCATGATTTCTTACTGGTTAGAAGTTTAAAACAGCATATTGTTGAGAACCAAGTGAATACTAATAAATCACTTATTTGCAGCCTAGTAAAAAATATTCTGCTTTTAACACCAGGAAACAAATTCCTGAGTGTCCAGGAGCTGTCTGAATATTCACAAAGAATAGCTAAGCCTCAACAAATCAGGCAACCTGCATTTGGCATTTTCATTTGTAAAAGTATTTCTGAACCCACATTTGTTTGTTTGTACTTTTTCTACCATTTGCCAGCTCTATAAACAAAAGATATTTCCAAGTGCTAACACTCCACTCATTTTACTGTTTGCATTTCAGTAGGATCTAAAAAACCCCAACACAGACCATAGTATACTGCCCCCAAAAACTGAGTGTTTGCTCACCATCTTGATATACATATTAGTCATCAGATTTTTTTTTAATATAATCTAATTTATTCCAAAGAAGCATTGACTGAATAGACACACAGCATTCAATCAGTCACAAGTGCTGAGTTTTTTAACTGCAGAAATTATGACATACGTTTTTAAGTTATCAAATAATATTAAATACCAAAAATGTAAACTAGGTGACTATTTATTCAGTCTTCCAAAAGGAAAAGGGTTCTTTCTAAAAATTAAAACCAGCCATCTGATTTAAAGATAAGGCTGCTTCTCTCTTTAATAAACACAATAAAATGGTGGAGATATTTTTATTCCCTATAAAAACATCTTACAGTATAATTTTATACTTAATTTATTTGTAATAGTTTTACTGTTTTGCTCTTCCGCCTGGTTTTAAACTTTATGGCAGGTTTCATTTCATAACTATAATTCTCCACTTTACGTTACAAGTAAATTATCTAGAGCAGTTAATTTTACCAATATTGTCATTATATAAGAAGTCAGAAACAAACACATTATTTTAATTACTCTTTAAGCACTTGGCATTTTCGGAAAGTAAGTTGTCGGATGGGTGCCCACAATATTTTATGTATTGATATAATTTTTCCCTTGTATGCAGCTGTAATATAACCAACCAAACATAATGTGTGTTGGACAGATCCAGGCTTGGTATTTTCAACAGCTATGTGCATCAATATGCAAGTGCACAAAGCAAACAAACATTATTAAGTTTGCAGAAAGTATCATCCTTGTAGCATCTTATGTTTTATTGCCACTGCTTGTTTTTTATTGGTCTTTTTAATACGTAAGTATTACTTACACCAATAAGGAAATCTTTCTCCAGTCTATTAACAAAGTACTTTTCAAATGGACGGATTTCTTGTCATTACAGTAAATATTATTAGAAATTCAGCAAAATAGTGTTCTTTAAATTCTTTTTGACTAGTCCATCAAATACCACATTGACAAGGCAACAACCATTCTGAAGGCTGTACTGGAGCAATAACAACACTATAATACTTACATTTGCACATGTGGGGGCTGGAAACGTCCCTGGTTAATGTTGTAGAATGTGAAAGCCTGTGTGGGGTTAGAGCTGTACTCATCCACCTCGATGATGAGCCGGCTGTGCTGGTGCCTCCTGGCTGCCATGATGTGGGACTGGGCGAAGGCCATGTCTGCGCGTGGGACCGGCACCCTCAGGCCACCATCTCTGCTATCTTCCTGCTGTGGAGGCCAGCACCATGACAGCCCCCAGCCCAGCCAGCACACTCCCCTTCCAAACACCTACGGCAGATGGGAGAGATGCAGTGTAACTGTCGGACACTTAACCTGCTTGGAATTGGCTTTATTTAATGTGAGGTGAAGGCGGAGGGATGAAGACAGACTGCTCAATGTACACATCGCAAACTTTTCCAGCTCAGCGACCTGATGAACGTGCTTTAATTAGGGGTAGGAAGCATGGAGTGAAAGTAAACTTGCTACAGAACATAGCTCAAGTATTTCAGACTTTTAATCCAAACCCAAAAGACAAGACCATCATTCAAAAACCACATCAAATCACAATGTTTTTCCAACACAATCATTTACATTATTTTTTTTTCATAGAACTGATGAAGATTTATTCCCCTTCCTCCCTCAAAAAACCCCCACCAAACCTGAAACAGAATACATGACTATGCACCACTCAAATGGAAGTTCATTGAACAAGAACTAGTTTAAGTAAATTTTCCAAAACTCTGTGACATTTATTACAGAGAAGCATTGCAAGTGCCTGTTCTTTACATCAACAGAAAAGTGAATGGCCGCCTGTGCACTTGATCCTGGTTTTATAGCATCACTGAAGGAGCTCTTGAGGAGGACACAACTCCTTGAGTGAAAGATATAAATGTGAAGGGCTCCTGTCATTAAAGGACACAAAATTATTCACATGAACGCTTCTCAGTGTTAAAACAGGAAAGAACCAACCTTTATTCTCTGACTCCAGTATTTATAGATTCTCAAAAATCACCAGGGATTGGATAATTAAGTTATCACCTTCCCAAGCACACTGGTCACGCAAAATGTCCATCAAAAGACCTTTCTTAGAAGGAATATATTAAACAACTTCAGGGAGACAGGGCTCCCCTCTTCAAACACTTTTCAGTCAGTACTGGCACAGCATTATGGATTCACAGGAAAACAGAGTGACTCCAAGGCTAACACACAGTTAAATGTTACTAAATATTAAAAAATTGTAAAATCCATACAGGTTTTTTGTTTGGGAATAAATTTTTCCCCGAAGATTATGCAAGTCTAGAACAGCAGTACCGAGATTTGGGTTGGGGAAGAACAATGTGAAACCAACTGGAATGCAAAGAGTATCCCCTAGAAACAGCACAAAGTAATTTAATGTGAATTTTATTCTTATTTCCCAGTTTTAATAAAAAATGGATTATAAGTTATAAAGGTGGGTATTTTTTCAGTATAATTTGCATCCTTTTTAAAAGTTGTCTGACAAATATTGACTTTCATGCAAGCAGGGGCTCTTTTCTTCTAGGGAATACAAGCAATCTGATTCAAAGATGTATTCAATGAAAAGCCACGCTACATAATATGCAGAGTTTTGGAGAGCAGGACTAGAAGTATTTTCTGTAACCATGCTGATGTGCCTTTCTGCCATTCTGAAGGGACCACTGCTGAGAATGATGGATGAGGGAGGCCTTCACAGTCACTCAAATTTTTAAAGCTATTTATGAGTACTTAAGTCCAATACAGTTTAGTGGCAGTCAAGCACTTAAGCATCTTTAAAAATCTGGGCTGCATCCCTCTGCTTAACTACTGCAGATGTTAAGTGCTCCAAGAAGTGGCAGAGTATTTTTGTTTGGGAAAATTTTATTCTCAGGAAGCTGAAATGAAAGATTCAGCTTGGTTTTTGTTACTGGCTGAATGCCTGTAAGATGATGACAACTTGCTATCACTAACAAGCCATAGTAAAACAGAATCAGAATAAAGGAGCATATTCCTACATGCCCTCCCCTAGAATGGAGTGGTAAGGAAATGCTAGAATAACAACAAAGAAAATTTGGGATTTCAAACACTCTCAAATGCCACGTTCAGGCTACAGAAGAAGCAGCAGCACTAGCCAGAGCAGGGGGAGGGAAGGGAAGGGAGGCACGATCCTTGTAAGAATAATCAAGTATAAATTGCTACATTTAGGAAATAAGAAATTACGACAGCAGATGTGAAGAACCTTCCCTAAGGAGCTTCCTGTATTAAATGTTGCATTTGTAAAGAAGTTTGAATAGTTAAGGTCAGAGATTTTATAGGGGGCAAACTGTTCTAAGCAAACTTACTTCTGTTTGAAAGAAACTATTAGAGCTGGTGACCTCTAGAAATATTCTCCAGTAAGATAAATAATTTATGATTCCACACCTCTACATAAGGATTTCAAACTACCTGAAAAATACAGCCTTTTTTTACAATTCAGGGATTGTGCCTATTTTACACACAACTGAACCAGGGTTTCAAAGAAGTTAAGGTACTGCCTTAGGGACCTATAGTCTCCCTTTAGCTTTAGGAAGCTCTCAGGAGCAGCTGAGGAAACAGCTTCTGTCAGTCTCCACTTTGGGTTCTATCCTTCACAGCTTATCACAAGTCAGATGTCAAATCTGCTGCAGAAACAGCAGATAAATATGCATGTGCCCCAATATTCACTCTTTGGCCCTCTTCCTCTTTCTAGGGTAGTGGAATAGCATTTACCAACACAATCTAACTCAAAACACAAATTTATTTGGGAACAGAAACACGTCCAGTACACAACTCAACACACAATTAGTACTGAAGAACTCTTTTAGGCAAGGAATCAACCCTTGCACATGAGAAAGTGAGTGAATCACACCATCAGGCCAGCCTTAGAGAATGTCAGCAAACTCAGCAAAAAATTCACCCTATATACAGGTGAAAAATGGAAAGACAACCTATTTCATTTGATGAAAAAATAAAAAGGGAAAAAGAAATGTGTAGCAGCATATTCAGCCTTCTGCTCAGTGACAGTCACTCACTGCCAACCCTGGACACATAAAAATCATAAAAACAGGAAGAAAAGGGTAAGGGTAAGGGTAAGGGTAAGGGTA